ACACAGTCCACAACCCCAATACATGGTTATACATAGTCTCATAACAGAAACACAGTCCACAACCCAATACATGGTTATACATAGTCTTATAACAGAACACAGCCCACAACCCCGATACATGGTTATACATAGTCTCATAACAGAAACAAGTGTTTGATATCAAAATATCCTTTACTTTAAAATAATATAAATTTGAAAAATATTGATCGAACCAATCAAGCGATATAACTTCGAATTATATAGGCTAGAAGAAAATAGAAGACATGAAATTGAAAAAAACGTTCAACAGTAATTATGTGATTTGAGATGTAAGGTTGATATGTTTTCCATTCGTAAAAGAAGTTTCGTGATGGATATAAGTACCTGCATTGATGGCCAGGGATGGTGCATACAACACAATGGACATGTACAGAACCTGTAGATAAATAACAATAGCTTACACATAATTACCTGTTTACAACACAGTGGATATGTACAAAACCTGTAGATAAATAACAATAGCTTACACATAATTACCTGTTTACAACACAATGGACATGTACAGAACCTGTATATAAATAACAATAGCTTACACATAATTAACTGCCTACAACACATTGGACATGTACAGAACCTGTAGATAAATAACAAAAGCTTACACATAATTAACTGCCTACAACACATTGGACATGTACAGAACCTGTAGATAAATAACAAAAGCTTACACATAATTAACTGTCTACAACCCAATGGACATGTACAGAACCTGAAGATAAATAACAATAGCTTTCACATAATTAACTGTCTACAACACAATGGACATGTACAGAACCTGAAGATAAATAACAATAGCTTACACATAATTAACTGCCTAACATAATTAACTGTCTAAAACACAATGGACATGTACAGAACCTGTAGATAAATAACAATAGCTTACACATAATTAATTGTCTACAACACAATGGACATGTACAGAACCTGTAGATAAATAACAATAGATTACACATAATTAACTGCCTAACATAAATAACTGTCTAAAACACAATGGACATGTACAGAACCTGTATATAAATAATAATAGCTTACACATAATTAACTGTCTACAACACAATGGACATGTACAGAACCTGAAGATAAATAGAAATATCTTAAAAAAACTAGTTGTATCCCTTACAGTATTGTCGCGGTAACTTTGCAGTAAAACTTTTTTTTATTCCTCATCGTACTCAATACTCCTGGTCTATATAATTTAGAACATACCGGTCTTTCCCAATCTACAGAAAACATACGCAGAACGTGACTGGAGACTTTAGGTGACATTGCTATGCATGTTGATGCAGTTACTGGTAATACGAGGCGGTTAAAACATGGATAGGTCGCAGTATTTCTAGGGTCAAGGACAGAGCTAGGGAACGAATGACAATTAATGTTTTGTTTTGTGTGTCCAGGCACAGACTTACCATTTGTATGATGTAGATGATAGCAGCGATTGTCCGTGTGATAAGGCCGAACCGTAAGCCCAGGTACTACAACATACAATTAACAGAAATATCATCAGGCAAGTATAATGTCGGATAAAAGAGGGTAAACGTGATTAGTGTCTCACACATGTGTCAGATAACAGAGGGTAAACGTGAATAACGTCATGTAAATATGTAAGAAAACAGAGGATAAACGTGAATAACGTCACATACATGTGTCAGATAACAGAGTGTAATAGTGAATAATACAGGTAAATGTCAGATAACAGGGTAAACGTGAATAACGTCACATACATGTGTCAGATAACAGAGTATAAACATGAATGACGTCACATAAATATGTCAGATAACAGAGTGAAACGTGAATGACGTCACATCAATATGTCAGATAAAAGAGTGTAAACGTGAATAATGTCTCATAAATGATCAGATAACAGAGGATAACAGTGAGTGACGTCACGTGAATATGTCAGATAACAGAGTGTAAACGTGAATAACGTCTCATATATGTGTCAGATAACGAAGGGTAAACGTGAATAACGTCACGTAAATATGTAAGATAACCGAGGATAAACGTGAATGACGTCACGTGAATATGTCAGATAACCGAGTGTAAACGTGAATGACGTCACGTATATATGTAAGATAAGAGAGTGTAAACGTGAATGACGTCATGAAACTATGTCAGATAACAGAGTGTAAACGTGAATAATGTCTCATACATGTGTCAGATAGCAGAGGGTAAACGTGAATGACGTCACGTAATTATGTAAGATTACAGAGGATAAACGTGAATGACGTCATGTATATATGTAAGATAAGAGAGTATAAACGTGAATGACGTCATGTAAATATGTCAGATAACAGAAAATAAACGTGATTAACGTCTCATACATGTATCAGATAACAGAGGGTAAACGTGAATAATGTTCATAAATGATCAGATAACAGAGGATAAAGGTGAGTGACGTCACGTGAATATGTCAGATAACAGAGTGTTAATGTGAATAATGTCTCATACATGTGTCAGATAACAGAGGGTAAACGTGAATGACGTCAGGTAAAAAAATCAGGTAACAGAGAATAAACGTAAATAACGTCACATACATGTGTCAGATAACAGAGGGTTAACGTGAATGACAACACGTAAATATGTTAGATAACAGATGGTAATCGTGAATAACGTCTCATACATGTGTCAGATAACAGAGGGTAAACGTGAATGACGTCACGTATATATGTAAGATAAGACAGTGTAAACGTGAAAGACGTCACGTGAATATGTCAGATAACAAAGTGTAAACAAGAATGATGTCTCATACATGTGTCAGATAACAGAGGGTAAACGTGAATGACGTCATATAAATATGTCAGATAACAGAGGGTAAACGTGAATGACGTCATATAAATATGTCAGATAACAGAGGGTAAACGTGAATGACGTCACGTATACACGTAAGATAAGAGAGTGTAAACGTGAATGACGTCATGTAAATATGTCAGATAACAGAGAATAAACGTGAATAACGTCACATACATGTGTCAGATAACAGAGTGTAAACGTGAATAACATCACGTAAAAATGTCAGATAACAGAGAATAAACGTGAAAAACGTCTCATACATGTGTCAGATAACAGAGGGTAAACGTGAATAATGTTCATAAATGATCAGATAACAGAGGGTAAACGTGAATGACGTCAGGTAAAAAAATCAGATAACAGAGAATAAACGTAAATAACGTCACATACATGTGTCAGATAACAGAGGGTTAACGTGAATGACGTCATGTAAATATGTCAGATTACAGAGAATAAACGTGAATAACGTCACATACATTTGTCAGATAACAGAGTGTAATAGTGAATAATACAGGTAAATGTCAGATAACAGGGTAAACGTGAATAATGATCATAAATGATCAGATAACAAAGGGTAAACGTGAATGACGTCATGGAAATATGTCAGATAACAGAGGATAAAGGGGAGTGACGTCATGTGAATATGTCAGATAACAGACTCATAAATGATCAGATAACAAAGGGTAAACGTGAATGACGTCACGTATACACGTAAGATAAGAGAGTGTAAACGTGAATAATGTTCATAAATGGTCAGATAACAGAGGGTTAACGTGAATGACGTCATATAAATATGTAAGATAACAGAGGGTAAAGGTGAATAATGTTCATAAATGATCAGATAACAGAGGATAAAGGTGAGTGACGTCATGTGAATATGTCAGATAACAGAGTGTAAACGTGAATAATGTCTCATACATGTGTCAGAAAACAGAGGGTAAACGTGAACGACGTCATGTAAATAAATCAGATAACAGAGAATAAACGTGAATATCGTCACATACATGTGTCAGATAACAGAGGGTTAACGTGAATGACAACACGTAAATATGTCAGATAAGAGAGGGTAATCGTGAATGACGTCAAGTAAATATGTCAGATAACAGAGTGTAAACGTGATTGACGTCACGTAAATATGTCAGATAACAGATGATAACGTGAATAACGTCATATAATTGTGTCAGATACTAGAGGGTAAACCTGAATAATGTCTCATACATGTGTCAGATAACAGAGGGTAAACGTGAATGACGTCATGGAAATATGTCAGATAACAGAGGATAAACGTGAATTACGTCACATACATGTTTCAGATAACATAGTGTCAACGTGAATGACGTCACGTAAATATATCAGATAACAGAGGACAACGTGAATAACGTCATATAATTGTGTCAGATAACAAATGGTAAAAATGAATAGTGTCGGATACATGTGTCCGATAACAGAGTGTAAACATGAATGACGTCATGGAAATATGTCAGATAACAGAGGATAAACGTGAATAACGTTACATACATGTGTCAGATAACATAGTGTAAACGTGAATGACGTCACGTAAATATATATCAGATAACAGATGATAAACGTGAATAACGTCACATAACTGTGTCAGATAACAGAGGGTTAATAATAACCTCACGTTAATATGTGAGATAACATCGTGTAAACGTGAATGACGTCACGTAAATATGTCAGATAACAGATTGTTAACATGAATAACGTCACGTCAATATGTAAGATAACAGAGCCTAAACGTGAATAATACAGGTAAATATGTCAGATAACAAAGGGTATACGTGAATAACGTCACATACATTGTACATGTGTCAGATAACAGAGGGTAAACGTGAATAACGTCACGTAAATATGTAAGATAACCGAGTGTAAACGGGAATGACGCCACGTAAATATGACATATAACAGAGTGTAAACGTGCATAATGTCTCATAAATGTGTCAGATAACAGAGTGTAAACGTGTTTAATGTCTCATAAATATGTAAGATAACAGAGGATAAACCTGAATAACGTCACATACATGTGTCAGATAGCAGAGGGTAAACGTGAATGAAGTCTCATAAATGATCTGATAACAGAGGATAAACGTGAATGCCGTCACATGAATATGACAGATAACAGCATATTAACGTGACGCCATTCACGTATACCCTTTGTTATCTTACATATTTAAGTGACGTCATTCACGTATACCCTCAGGCAACCATTTGGTCATCTGGTTTAACATAACACATGTTGTCCTCAAACCCAGTCAACAAATGTATAATGTAAAATCTTCAGGATGTGGTTTCGGCCAATCACAGTGATGCAAAAACGAACGTCGTAGATGTACTGTAGCAATCAGGAAGTTGATCTATCGTCGGTGAGCGAGCTGGTAAACAGAACACCAATGTGAACAGGTACAGTATACAAAGCGCTTCATTTAAATTTGTTCTATTTGTTCACCCGGAAGAACAGGCGATTTTCCCACGGTTTGTCCATAAGATATACTTATGTCTATAATTTAGATTTCCCGCGTGTCGGAGAATAGTGGGAAATATATATCCTGCATGCACGGACTATACGTGCTGTTTTTAGAGGTTCATTCTAGGTTTGAACACTAGACAGACACGTTAGAATTTTATAAATTCCATTATAAAATTGTAGCGGATAGGTAATTCGGAATGGGATGGGGTGTTGATATTTTGAATGAATAGGCATGTGCTTATATGGAAAGCCAATTTACATTGATTAAATTATTTGTACCTATCTTCAATTGAATTGTACCTATCTCCAATTTAATTGTACCTATCTCCAATTGAAATGCTGTCTTCGATTGAAATGAACATATCTTCAGTTTATTGTACCTATATAGGTGCAATTATTTGAATATATGTTAATTTGGCGTTCCATATGCTTATATGTCAGAAATCCCAGCATCACAAAATCGTTAGCATTGTCGGGTCTGGTGCACCTCCTGCTGTTTTTCAGTTCAGGCTGGTTGGTGCGCTTGGTTTACAGTATATAGCGACGGCTCATGAGCGGGAATGTTACACAAAAATGGAGTGCATATTTCATGTTAATGAATATTTGAGTATGAAGATGAACTTGAATGAATGCCGACTCTTTCCGTCAAAACGGCCGAGCAGCTAATTGCTAAATATGCATTACGTGTCTTTATAGATTAGATGGAGGACGTGTACGAAAGAAAATAAAAATTATTTGATGACATTTGAAAACTTATAATATACCAGTAAAGATATAAAATATACTGTTAATACGGAACACATCATTCTAGTGACTGTTGACATTACCTTCTCTAAAATATACTGTTAATACAGAACAAATCATTCTAGTGACTGTTGACATTACCTTCTAACATTTGAAAACTTATAATATACCAGTAAAGATATAAAATATGCTGTTAATACGGAACACATCATTCTAGTGCCTGTTGAAATTTGCTTCTCTAAAATATACTGTTAATACAGAACAAATCATTCTAGTGACTGTTGACATTACCTTCTATACAATATTCTCTGAAATATACTGTTAATACGGAACAAATCATTCTAGTGACAGTTGACATTACCTTCTCTAAAATATACTGTTAATACAGAACAAATCATTCTAGTGACTGTTGACATTACCTTCTATACAATATACAGTTAATACAGAACACATCATTCTAGTAACTGTTGACATTACCTTCTATAAAACATACTGTTAATACGGAAAACATCATTCTAGTGAGTGTTGACATTACCTTCCATAAAATATACTGTTAATACAGAACAAATCATTCTAGTGACTGTTGACATTACCTTCTCTAAAATATACTGTTAATACAGAACAAATCATTCTAGTGACTGTTGACATTACCTTCGAACATTTGAAAACTTATAATATACCAGTAAGGATATAAAATATACTGTTAATACGGAACAACTGTTAATACGGAACACATCATTCTAGTAATTACAGTTAATACGGAACACATCATTCTAGTGCCTGTTGACATTACCTTCTCTAAAATATACTGTTAATACGGAACAACTGTTAATACGGAACACATCATTCTAGTGACAGTTGACATTACCTTCTCTAAAAGATACTGTTAATACGGAACACATCATTCTAGTGCCTGTTGAAATTTGCTTCTCTAAAATATACTGTTAATACAGAACAAATCATTCTAGTGACTGTTGACATTACCTTCTATACAATATACAGTTAATACAGAACACATCATTCTAGTAACTGTTGACATTACCTTCTATAAAACATACTGTTAATACGGAAAACATCATTCTAGTGACTGTTGACATTACCTTCTCTAAAACATACTGTTAATACGGAACACATCATTCTAGTGCCTGTTGACATTACCTTCTCTAAAATATACTGTTAATACGGAACAACTGTTAATACGGAACACATCATTCTAGTGCCTGTTGACATTACCTTCTCTAAAATATACTGTTAATACGGAACAACTGTTAATACGGAACACATCATTCTAGTAACTGTTGACATTACCTTCTATAAAACATACTGTTAATACGGAAAACATCATTCTAGTGACTGTTGACATTACCTTCTATACAATATACAGTTAATACAGAACACATCATTCTAGTGACTGTTGACATTACCTTCTCTGAAATATACTGTTAATACGGAACACATCATTCTAGTGACAGTTGACATTACCTTCTCTAAAATATACTGTTAATACGGAACACAT